GTGGCTCAAACAGGTTCATTCAAGATATTCAAAAAGCATTTTATTATAATTTGAAAAGAAAGAATGTGCAGTGCTGTGTTATGAAGGTGGGGCAGTGGCTCAAGTGAATTATTTCTTCAGGGAGATACCATAGGCACGATGACCTTACTTTGTGCTGTAACCATTCTAAGATTTAATGATCATTACATGTGAATCACCCTTTTACTCCTCAATCCCAAGTGCAGTGCCGATCTCTGAGTTGCTGTATGAGGAGTTTGACTGCGTGCTTCTTTCAGATGCTCTTTCTCTGCCAGTCTGGAGCTTCCTATTGGATAGAACGAAGGGCTCATTGAGACAGGGAGAACAACTAGGGCTTCTGCGCAATTAATAGTGCACAAAGTTGTTGAGGATGATCAGTATTGAAGTGCCACACAGATGACAATCAGGATTGTGTGAGGAAAGCAAGTGATAGTATTAAGAAAGGCAGATACTTTTTCTATTGCTCTTGCCTCCATCAATGTTTTCAGCAACTCACTTGCCCAATTCCATGTGATGTACCTTTGCATCTGACTTAGTGTGTGCCTAGATGCAGCCGATTCTTTCTCAAATTTTATTCAAAACTGCTTCCTGCATCCTACATGTGCTTTTGCAAAAAGAGTTGAAGAAAATTACTTTTTTTTAACCTGCTATTCAGTTATTTATGGCTGTTCTTTCATTTTGAGAGTGAATAGAAAGGCAGAAAAACAGATTTGTAAAGTATAAGGAAATAGCTACAGTAAGAAACGATGGCAGTAAGAATGCATAGCCTTCAAGTTATGAATTCAAAGAATGCTCTTTGTAACTGCTGTGAGGACATATGCAGAAAGTGAGTGGCCTTCATAAGGACAGGGTTGGAGTCTTGACCTGCTGTGATTGGAGAAACAGTAGTCAGAGTGAAGGGAGGGAAGAGTAGAGTATGTATGTAAAGAGTAGGATAAACAGAGAATAAGAAACAGAGAGGCAGAAACAGAGGATGAGAAACAGAATGAATTAATGGAACAAAAACAGAAGTTGCTGGAGAAGCTCAGCAGGTTTGGCAGCATCTGTGAAGAAAAAATCAGAGTTAACGTTTCGGGTCTGGTGACCCTTCCTCTGGGCTTTTCCAGCAACTTCCATTTTTGTTTCTGATTTACAGTATCCACAAGTTCTTTCTGTTTTTATTTAGGATGAATGAATGGGTGGGTTAGGATGGCCAAACATAAAGCATGACATTCCATCCGCTGAGAATGGTGTTAGAGAGAAACAATTGAGTTAAAGATTATTTAATATAACATTTGTTGTGAGGAAATTACTAGAATCTACAACTAAGCATAGGCTAACTTGAACACCTTAAAATGTTTCAGCTAATCAGACTGAACCAGGAGTTTTTAAAGGATAGACCATTCCTGAAAATTCCTGGCTAAAGTAGGAGACAGACGAGAAAGTTTTTAATCCCATCATGGCATTTGGCCATCAATGGCAAGACAAGCATTTGCTATAAATTCCTAATTTTCCTGGAGAACATGATGGCGGTGGTTTAGGAACACAGCTAGCGGGCTCAGCCAGGAGCCTGGAGCTTATCGACTCTGTCTGCTGTTTTACTTTCTTTTTCTTTCTCTGTTTCTTCTTAATGTTTACATTTATTATCTTACCTTTTTTAACTTCTTCGGCGGAAGGTATCTTCTTCCGGCCCGGGCCTAGTGAAAAGGAGCCTTCTGGTCCTGGAGGGGTGTTCTCAGCCTGGTTCGTTGGTCTTGTCCCAGTGTGGAGGTCTCTTTGACAGCACCTTCCAGATATTTCAGCATGTGTTGTGTTAATCGACTCTCCCTGAACTGAAATTGATTTGAGCAGAACTCTGTTTTAATTTTTACTTTTTTCTTCTTATCTATGGCTTCTGTCATTAACACAGATGCTGTGGTGTGGTGACTTTTAAAACTTTTCACGGGAGTAAGGAAGCTGCTTGATTAGCACCCAATCCTTCTCATTGAACGTTCATTGTGTCCCATGTTGATAACAGAAACTCATCAAATGCATCTTCGACAACACCTTCCAAACTCACAGGCTCTCTAACCCAGAAGGAATTGTACAGCAAGTGCTTGAGAGACCCCCCCGGCATTATAAGATACCCCCAAAGTTATACAGCAGACTGACTTGGAAATTTACTTGGAAATATTCCACTCCCGTACATCTCAGTTGTCCTCGTTTTTCAAGGACCGCAACATCCCCCACTCAATGGTCGAGAATGCCCTCAACCGTGTCTCCCACATTTCCCGCAACTCATCCCTCACACCCCGTCCCCGCAATAAGAACCAAAAAAGAATCCCCCTTGTCCTCACGTACCACCCCACCAACCTCCAGATCCAACGCATCATCCTCCAACACTTCCGCCATCTGCAATCCGACCCCACCACCAAAGACATTTTTCTTTCCCCACTCTTATCTGCTTTCCAGAGGGACCACTCTCTCCATGACTCCCTTGTCTGCTCCACACTCCCCCCTAGCCCCACCACACCCAGCACTTTTCCCTGCAACCGCAGGAAGTGCTACACCTGCCCCCATACCTCCTCCCTCACCCCCATCCCAGGCCCCAAGAAGACTTTCCACATCAAGCAGATGTTCACCTGCACATCTGCCAATGTGGTATACTGCATCCGCTGTACCTGTTGTGGCCTCCTCTACATCGGGGAAACCAAACGGAGGCTCGGGGACCGCTTTGCAGAACACTTATGCTCGGTTTGCAATAAACAACTGCACCTCCCAGTTGCGAACCATTTCAACTTCCCCTCCCATTCCTCACACGACATGTCCATCCTGGCCCTCCTGCAGTGCCACAACGATGCCACCCGAAGGTTGCAGGAACAGCAACTCATATTCCGCTTGGGAACCCTGCAGCCCAATGGTATCAATGTGGATTTCACAAG